CTACGCAGCTCTGCTGAGGCCACACTGGTACCGTCACCTCCATTAGAGTTGTGCTGTGCGGCCCGCCGTACCATTGGGTGCCCCAACCTGTTACAGTTCAGTGTGCCTACCATGAGTTTACGTTAGGTGAGTTCGCTAGCGAATACGTCAAAAAATTCTATGAAGATTTTATGTCTCGAAATTAGCCGCTAGGGGCGCTGCACAATATGTCATACATTTAAATGTCATTTTTTTACTCAGTCGCTAGCGAGCACACCTGACGTAAACTCATGGTAGGCACACAGAAGATAAATTAGAGTAGTATAGCATACTTCCTCCAGACATGTCAACATTATACAGTTTAGGATCTATCAGGAGAACAACAAGAGTTTCAACTCCTTTTCCTAGCAATGCTCCAGTTTTGTTCAGTAGCAGATGATAAAGAGTCTTTTGACGGTGACAGCTGTATCATTATAACATTGATAGAAGATACCGCAACGGAGAAAAAAGCCCTATTATCTCCCTCATCAGTGAATAGAACTTCTATTCTTTACCACTTTGTCATCTTAAAAATCGATGCCAAGACAAGAACAACTTTTTTTTGTTTCCTCAAAATAAAGTTTCCAACTCACCAATAGCAATAGCGTTCTGATCCGTGATATCCATTCCCATCGGCGGCAGACAGATGGGCCAGACGTAGGTGTTGAACACAGCGGGCCTGTGCAGCTTCAGTATGGCTATATCGTGGTGATACGAGGGTAGTTCGAAGTCCACGTGCTGACGGATCTCTACCACTCTGAAGTCGTAGGATCGGGAGTCGTTGGTGCGGTGGAAGTCGTACTCTCCTAGTCTCACGTGGAGATCTTCCGCTTTCCACCTAGACAGAAGGATTATTTCAGTTTAATAAACGGTTATGATGTCACAGAAGTAGTTTCCGAGAAGTTTCCTCTGGTCTAGAAGAACTTTTGAATAATGTTTTCACTAGCGACCTACATCCTACATGTTGCCAGTAGTTGACTGTAAGCTAAAGGGAAGGGCCAAGAGCCCTTAGTAGGTCTTCGCCTGTTACTCTTCTTCATTGTTCTTTGAAGACATCTATTTGGATATCTGCTGTTAAAAATACCCTCATATTTTAAAGCTGCATAAGTACTTTGTCGTTATAGTCACAGATGCTTTTTCGACAATCACTGGATTCTTACCTCCTCGTGCAATGCGCGGCTGTGAGTACATGTCTGTCGGTGATAAGGGCACCTCCACAGTACTGCTCGAAGCCGACAGGCGTGATGGAGGCCATCCAAGGCCACTCGCGAGGGTTGGCAGGCCTAGCGCCCGTCACTCGCCCGTGAGGCCGCGTGCTCAGGCCGCAACCTGCGCAGAATTACCGAACTTAAGTGGCAGTGGGTTTTGGCAGCTCGTAGAGCCGATAGCCATTGGGGCAGAAAAGTTTTCCAGTGGCGGCCACGAGCTGGAAGACGTATGTAGGCAGGCCTCCTATTAGGTGGACCGACGATCTGGAAAAGCTATCGGGAAGTGCCTGGATGCGGGCAGCGCAGGACCGGTTGTTGTAGTGAACTCACTCCTAACAAATTACTAAACACACATAAAAATATTTAAAAAATTCGTGATCTGTGTTAATGACTGAAAATAAGTACTCACTTGAAAGGCAGCATTGCCAGCGGACTACCAAGGATACAACAATAAAACACAAAGCTATTCCACATTACTTTAATGGTCTTCTACGGACCTCTGTTCTCTGCCCTTGTGACCTTCAGGATGGCCTCGTTGGCCTCCTCTCTTGGTGCGGTGGCGGGGAGGTCCCCAGCTAGGCTGGCTTCGCGAAGGTCTGCCAGCTCGTCGGGACAGCATACTCCGATGGAACTGTAGAGTACAATAAAATTTGTCCATAAATAGGTACCCCGTGCATATTATGAAAGTAGGTGCTTACTACGTCCGTATACTTTTCCAATTAAAATATATTTTTATTTTTCTGATCTGCAAAGCGCCTGCACTAATTTTGACGGCACTTTTACTTAGCATTGATTACTAAAATAAACAACTGAAAAGTGGTGAAATAAATTGTGATATAAAAATGCCCGTTTGCAGAGAAATTCGCGGACATTCCTGAATTTGAGTAAGATTAATCAATTGTCACTACCCGTGGCTAATGCATTGGCAAGTTTACGATATAATCTTATCGATTTTAGACAAGCCCATACTCGTACATCTGTTGTCTAAGATTATATCTATGAAAATGTTTTTTCATATTCCAAGGCAACTTACGTGCGCTGTATGATGCACAAGTAGTCCATAAACTTGGTGAAGTCTTTCTTGAAGTCCTCCTGGACGCAGAAGTGCAGGTGGCGACAGTGGCCCGCCTTGCCGTTGGGCAGGAGACAGGCCTGGTGCGGCTCGTTAGGCTAAATAAACCATTGGCAGCAAATTATTATGTATAAGCCCCGTGGACCGACGACCTGTGGCTCTAGCACGCAAAACTTTCGACTTCGAATCGTTTGCGTATTTCGAAACCTTTAGCGCCTCTGTGAACGTGATTACCGTGACATAGTGAGAAATGGTAGCCCGAAACTAATTTTGACAATCGAGATCGTCACTTTATCGTTGAATTCGAAGGCTGGGTATCGAATTTTGTCGATTACGCAAACGATTCGAAGACGAAAGTTTTTCGTGCTGGAGGTACCTACTAGCTAGTGAAGGTCGCGGGAAACATCTGCATGCGGAATCAAGACCGGTCGTTGTGAAAATCCATAAGTGAGTCTATTGTCCAGCTGTGGTCAGCAATAAGATCACTAATATTATGCACACAGTAGGTAAGTACTTAGGTAGGGGAAAGTAATACGAGATGATCCTCTGAGGTAAGATGATCTTTCACGATTGTGCTGAAACCACTAACATCATTTAGTTTCTTTCACTGGTAAAACATAGCTCTGGACACCTCCCCGCCTCAGTCAAATCGTAATGGTGGCGTGAGCGATATATCGAATTTGACGATCGATCACTAATCACCCCCTGATAGTTTATACCAATTATCTACCAAAATCTACTAAACGATTTCGCACTACTAAATCATCGTTCTCTTTGCCTCAAATCTACCAAAAAAGTAGAAATCTACTAAAAGTGGTCACGCTGTGGCCGCCGCCGCCCGCCGGCCGGGGCGCTTGACGACAGCTGCGTGCCTCGTACCATGGTACTCAGTGCGCGTTGTGACAAACGACGCCCGCCAATCGCCATACAGAATGCGATAATTAAGCGACAGTCGCTATTGCAAGACATTTCATAATATTTATCAACTCTCGGCGAACAGACTTTAGTGCAGAGCCCCGATTACGGTAACTTTTAACGTCTACAATCCAGACACGCTTCTCGATTCTGCGATACGATTGGTCGTTCAACAGCGTACGTCAGCTGTTTTGACCAATCGTATTGCAGAATCAGAAATACCTCACGGAGCCCGAGACCTTTCCAATGAATGTAAAACCGTGGAAATCGGTTCGTGCGTTCTAGAGTTATAGCGTCATCAGGGAGGAAAACCCGACTTATTTTTATATAGTAGATAAATTGGCATGTTGACATGATATATCTTAGTAGTTCGTAAGTAACTGCGTAATTATACTGTTTCTACTTGTTTAAAACAATTAATAAACACCAACATTTCTATAATAAAAGATTGACATAATAGTGTGGTGCCCATAGATAATTTATTTTACCTACCGATTCATACTTAATTAATAGTGTCGTGCCCATAGATAAATTGAAAACTATTAATAATAACCGGTTATTATGAATAATTACCGACAGTCCCGGTAAAAGTGATAAATTAATCACATTTAACAGTGATTATTTAATAATTCAACCTTAGTACTAACAAATTTCATAAAAGAGAACAACATCTTGTGTACGTGCTTGTGTACAGCCAAACTTTTAAATGTTTTGATATTATATATTAATATAATTTACCTCACTAGTTTTCTATCACGTTGGTACCCTTGTTGGTTTCTTAGGTTGGTAGAAAAAGTCAACCTAACTTTGAAAACTGCTAGCTAGGGAGTGCAGAGCCCCGATTACGGTAACATTTAACGTCAACAATCCAGACACGCTTCTCGATTCTGCGATACGATTGGTCGTTCAACAGCGTACGTCAGCTGTTTTGACCAATCGTATTGCAGAATCAGAAACGCGTCTGGATTGTAGATGTTAAAAGTTACCGTAATCGGGGCTCTGACTCTTACTATTACGTGCTCTGTGATTATGGCCCCGGACTGACAAGTCAGTGGCCGCGGGCATAAAGCTAAAGATAAAAATGGAAGCCACACTTGGAACAAAAACTTGAGTCAAATACCTGCTTATCTCTATCTCGCTCTCTGTGGGCCGACCTCTCTTTTTAGTGTGGACCGTAGTATTGCTATCTCCTTATTTAAATCTCCTAGTAAATTCTTCGAAATAGCCAATTCACTAACCAAATCAGAAGTTAAACAAATAAATAATTAAATATTTGAACTACGATTACCTAGTTAAATTAAAAATCACAAAATTGTCGGCCGTTTAGGCTAAATGTGTTGGCGAATCAGGGAATTACAATCACAATTCCTGGGGAATGCCGGTACCGTGTGGCAACATCGGCCCAATCCGGCCCATCATGGCGGTTGTTTACTATTTTGTTTACTATGCAGTTAATTTCGTTTGAGATTTTTTACAGGACCTAATCATTGTTTTATCACAAGAAATGGTGCAAAATTTTGTAGTGCGTGGTTGCGGTAGTAGGTGGTGCTGGAAGTGACTTAAGATTCCACGCGTAAGTGTTTATTTCGTGATTTCTGACATTGGATCATTGGAAACATAATATTTCTTTGTATTTTCACAGTAATTTCGTCCTAAAACGTTTTACCAGTATTTACACTTATTATTTAATTATACCTACCTATATATAGAGTATAGAAATAAAGATTTCACATTGAGTTTCATTGACTTTAAGCAAATTTATATTTTTTGTTTATTTAGAAAGAGAGAGTCTGCCCACATAGAGCGAGATAGTGATACATAGGTTGTGCTTCAAGTAGGTATTCGGAGTGTGGCCTCCATTTTTATCTATAGCTTCATGGCCGCGGGAAGGACGCGGGGCGGGGCGGGAAACGACAGCCGGCGCTTTACTCTCTGGCAGTTCAAGCGTTCACACAAAGGAAGCGGTCGCAGAGCGATCCAGGAGCGGGAATGTTAGTTATATTTTTAACTTATTACAAATACGCAGATTCATCATGAAAACGACTGAAAAACTTATTGATTTAGTAAAACCACATCCGTGTCTTTATAATACCAAAGACAGACATTATAGACACACGTATAAAAAGGATATGATTTGGGAAAAAATATCAAAGGCTTTAAATCAAAATTGTAAGTACTTTTTATCTATTATTATTTGTTATTATTAATTCTTTGTTAATCGTAATCCAAATCCGTCCGTAACTGTTAAACAATAATAGGTACCTACGTTTTGGCTTTCATAATCTAAGGCTGGGTTGCATCATCTTACTTTAACTTTGACAAACGTCTATTTGTGAATCGTAAAATGTCTTTAAAACAATAGTTTTTTGTGAAAAGTCCTTTGAATACGTAGAATTTGCACTGTTTTCATTATTTTTTGTATCACAACACCACTACTCGACGCGATTTTTCTTGTTTTGATTGGCAGCGCCTCGCGTGGTAAGAATAAGAACTAAATATTTCAATTTGCCGCGGCATTTTGTAAACGGCGATTGAATTGCCTATCAAATGTGGCATATTATAAAGTGCCAAGGCAATTTATACGTCTTTGCCTTCGGCATTTCTTCTTACGCTGGATCTTACGCTACCGACCTTCCGCAAATTAAAAGATGTCGCAACTGGCTGCCTCAAGAGCAATCTCTGGCACTGGCTAATTATAAGTTCACATATCAATTTGTAATTTTAGGAAATTGTAATTTTAAGTATAAATTAATATTTATTTACTTATGTACCTATATCTTGGCTATGGCAGAATAACAGGGTTTGTGGGTCTCCTGCAATCACTGAGTCATAGACCTTTTTGTCTCTTATGATTTTTGTATCTGTGAAAAACTGTAAATGAAACCTGTTTTGAGACAAATAAATACTTTCTATTCTATTCTATTCTATTCTATTTCATAGAACGGCGAGCGTTTGTGAACTGACGACGCCGTTTGTAAAATGCGGAATCATACAATTTGCCTGCGATAGATACTTAGATGATTAAATATACCTACATATTTGATTATTGATTGATGATTGATAAATTATGAAATTTAACTTTAGAAGGACGGATTTGGATTAAAACTTAGATTAGGATTAAAGAAAATCGGCATAAGGAATCTCCGGTTATCAAATATCTATCTGTAAAAAAATATGAATCTATTGTTACAGGTGATGAGACGAAAGCTAAGTGGAAGAACCTTAAAGACTCTTACGTAAAATATAAAAAAGACATAAAGGATACCACGGGTCAAAAAAGAAAATATCTAAATTGGACTTGGGCTCCATATTTGTCATTTCTAGATTGCATTCCAGAACGTAAAGTGACGTCATCCGATATTTTGAAACCGGCTGAAACTCAAGCCGATGATTTTCAGATGGATGAAACTTTATCACTTGATATGCTGCATGAGCCGCTGCAAAGGCCCGAATCGCCACACACTGCCCTTTCAGAAACATCTACTACGAGCCTACTTGAGACACTGCCGACACCGCCAATTTCTTTACATTCTGCATCCAAAAAGATCAAACCGCCTAAAAACGACATGGATAAGGTACTAAACTATTTAAAAAATAAGAGAAAAAAGGATGCAGTCGATTTGTTATTTAGCAGTTACGCAGAAAGTTTTAAAAAACTGAAATTACGAACTCAAGCTGAGGTCAAATTGAAAATGGCACAGATTTTCATTGAAGCTGAACTTAAAGATCTAGACTCAGAAAACGAAGTTGCAGAAGCAATGGATGCTTCTAACCTAACTTCACGCGGACAATTGAATTTTGAATGCCCACTCCAGTTTAAAAAAGAAATGTGAATTGTGAAGTGATGAAGAATCTTATTTAAGGTGACGGTGTTATGTTAAACATTTAAAAGTTAATCATTTGTTTCTTTTATCATTTTACTCTGTCACACATGGACCTATAAAAAGTGTTTTTAAAGGTCCATGCTATCAAACTGTGTATTTGTGGAGTTTGTGTAATTTAAGTTTTAGTTAATAAAAATAACAGAAAAAAAGATACAGTCGATTTTTATTTAGCAGTTGAATGCAGAAAGTTTGAAAAAACTGATATGATAAGAACTCAAGCAGCTTTTTACCCAGTTATCTACTTGTTATTGGATAGGATATCTCAAAAAAATCCGATGTAGGGAACTTGTATAATATTTAAAAAAATAGAAAAGTGGGGTGCAAAGAGTGTAAAAATCATTTTTAACTTATATTTCGATTTTCGTTCCTCCCATCACTTGGTACTAAATGCAGATTTTTTAAACAATTCAATACTATACCTGAGTTGCACCACCAAGTTTTAACCGTAACTACATAATAATATTATAACGATAACCGGTAAAGTAAGATGGTGCAACTCAGCCTAGCTAGTTTTTAAATCTTAGATTGTTGAATTTTAACGGTGGACATAAGGATTTTATAGTGAAGTGACGTAATCGATTGTTAAGTTAAATGTTAACATTTTCCTAATGCTCAAAGGACAAAGTTCGTGAAGTCTGTAAGTATCCTACTTAAGTATTTTAAAATCCAATTCGCATGCAAATGCAGTATGTTAGCCTAGAAATGTATTGGTAGTATTGGCACCTTTAGAGGCGCCGTCGGGGCGCCTTCAGCACAATAAGGGTCTGACTGAACACATATGAACTCAGCTTTTGATTCAATAATAAGTTTTAATTGTTTTCAATAAGGCTTCAAAAGCCTCTTTTACATTTATGTAGGTGCAATGGCTATAAAACCTGTCATTACTTTTCGGATCAATAAGACTAAGTTTGTTATACATTGGACTACCCATTTAAATGCTATTTCAGCTATCCCTATTATAATAATTACGGGGGCTAAGGAGATAAAAGGAGGGTTGGAAGTTTATATTATGAAAGTCCTATGTGTTTAAAGTAAGAGAGTTGAAATTTAAAATGTATGCGCTATAGATGCTAAGAGCGGATTTTACGAAACTCCACCCCTAATGGAGTAAAACGAGGTCCACGCGTACGAAGTCGCGGGCGGCCGCTAGTAATAATTATTATGGTTTTAATTCATGGTGGTTGATGTATTTTGCATTCAGTACCTATTTATTTAATTTAACCTCGGATGAAACAAATCTAAACATCTACATAATTATTCTGTGCCTAAACTGAATTCTTCCATGAAAAAATAGTAATGTAATATTTTATTAATAATATTAAATTGATTTTAATACTCGTATGGTCTTGTGCTATTTGTGTGATATTTTGACGTAACATGATGTTTTCATAGGATTGTTACCGATAAACAAGTGTCGAGTGTGTCTGGGTCCTAAGTTGATAGTTTGATCGGACGTTATGTCCAATTGCGAAGGAATCGCTCAAGACTGCCTTAAAGTCGAATGAAGCTGTTAACTTTTGTTTCACTTTTACGATAATATGGAGACGCCTACCTCCCAACTACACGGCTCCATATGGACATGTGAAAGTATAAAAGGTTTGTTGATTAAGTTATTTAAACGCAAACAAAAGTACCTATTTATGTATCGTATTATTACAATTACTTTTTGTTAAATATTTGTATTTCAACCTGTGCTATTCCTATGTGATAACAATGGGGGCATTACAATTTACATTCATCATCATCATTATCATCATTTTCAGCCACAGGACGTCCATAGCTGAACATAAAATGCCTCCCCCAATGATTTCCACAATGGCCGGTTGGTGGCGGCCTGTATCCAGCTCCTACCCGCTACCTTTACGAGGTCGTCGGACCACCTTGTGACAATGAGACAATTTACATTGTTTTACACTAATTTACAAGATAATGGTTGGTTTGGCATTATTTAAATTGATAAATAATAATTATTAACACATCAATATCTTTACTCATTGTCTGTCTGGTTATTTGTAATACTTAGTTAAAATCTAAGTAACTAGATGGCGTTACAGTAGATTGTGTAGTTTTCTACATCGCGGTATCGAAGTTTTTTACCCTGCCCGACGGGACGGGACAAAACACCGTTGTTGTGATTGTATCGCAAAGGATATTCTTTCTTAAATTGAGACCATGAAAATTTATCATCTTCTGACGCATTAAGTCACGGCATAAGTTAAGAAACAAATAAGTAAATATGAAAGATTCAAAATTGTTTATCACCTCAATGTCTATTAAATACCACGGTATTTAATTAACTAAACACGTTTAGTGGCAATTAAAAATCACTTTCATTTATTACCAAAAATTTCGCCAAATTCATCTATATATATAAAAATGAAACCCGTTTCGCGTTGTCACGGCATCACGTGTGAACGGCTGAACCGATTTCGATAATTCTTTTTTTTAAATGTTTGTGGAAGTCCAAGGATGGTTCTTACGGAAAAAAATATTAAGAAAATCTCTACGCTAAGGCGGTACGAAGTTCGCCGGGTCAGCTAGTTATGGTATAACAATTGAAAACTGCCTACGTCTATTAGCACGTATTGTAATATTTATTGCCAATAATTCAAACTAACAATAAACTTGAATGAAATTGTAACTTTAGTTATACGTTTTTACGACACAGTCTCACCGTTTTCGTGAGCGAAAATGCAAATCGAACTAGCTACGCCCACTTAGGCGCCAGTTCTTAATTATTGTTGTATGGCGTAGTGTTGGGATAGAAGCCGCTCTAAATTATATCGATGAACATTATACTTCGGCAAAATATTAAGCAAAAAAAAATCATATTTTTTACTGTTCATGGTTGCCCTGATTCAGGGCGAACGAAAATTTTCGTAAATGCGGGTAATTTTAAATAACGCACTGTGATGCCAAATTTTTACTGTTTAAAACTCAAGATTACCAGTGTCTTTATTTTTTTAAACCAAGGCAACAAATAGTGTTATGTATGTAATATTATTATTCTACGAGTATGTCAATGATAGGTAATCGATTTAAATGGTAGTTAATAGGATTGAAAATTTTCCCTGGTTCTAAAACCAAAATGTTTGTGTAAAGAGAATGGCACAGATCCCACCCACACTATGTTTTGAGCGAATGTAGGTTACGCACCATCGATAAAGAAAATTGTCGACATTTAGCCAACTCTAGTCTGATCTACAGGATTGCAATCGATTTTGACAAACTATATTAATTGCTTGAAGTAGCCAGTGGCGATTATATTGAGTTTGAAAGGTTATATCAGGTTAGTTAGTACCAATACAGTATAATTAGAACTATTCACACAGTTGCGCACAGAGACAGTGGTGGTGCACAGTCAGCGTCAAATAGTTCGTGTCATCCAAAGTAGCCAAAAAGTTCACAACACATCTTTGCTACAACTGGAATAAAATTGTGTTAACAACTTTTTGGTCACTTTGGGTGTCACGAACTATTTGAGGCTGACTGTACCAACCTTCTTTTGCAAATCTCACTCCGTAAAGCAAAGCTACTTCTAAGCCTTCGTCGTTCTCCACTCATGCCCAAACGCCAAGAACTGGGGCGACAAATTGTTATGTCCACACAACTGGCCCGTAAGGAGAGATATAAAAACTTTATTACCTGATTTGCATTCATTTCGACGAAGCGCTTGGCTCTTCCACTGCCGATGAGGATGCCACCGGCAGAGAACACCTCCTCCCACGCGGGGTCCATAAATTGCGCTGCGAACAAAAGTGTGGTCACCCTGGAGCTTTGGGACACCATAAAGTACAAGTTATCAAACCACAATACCGCAGAGATGGTTTTATATGCGAAATGCAAATTGGAAACTCGTAACGTTGGGTATTAGAAACAAAATGCGTCAACTATTCTTGGAATAGGAATATTTGCTTGGTGAAGGTTCTATTTTATTGAGAATATGGGTTTAGGGTCATTCTACAGCGAAATGGCTTGATCGATGATAGCTTAAGAAAATCATGGTAACGGGACTATTGCCACGTTCTCGCTTTTATTACTGCAACTCCTGTGTCGACAGGATCTAATTTATTTTAGTAAGTAAGTAGGTGCCTATAGTATTCGATAAACAGTCATTAATGTATATTTATTTCAAACTTAAATGCACAGTACATAAGGCGAATTTAATACCATTGAAATTCTCCTGCAGTTAACCTTAGGGTCAAACTGAGAATACAGTAAGAGGTATAACAAAATTATTAAAACCCTGAACTTATTGTCAGATAAAAATCCTCTTCGTAAGAAGAATCGACCATTCCATAACGGAACTGGGGCCTAGAAAGTGTATAAAAACATTGTCGTCGAGTAATCGACGAGTAGAAGTGAAGCGATATGCAAATTGAAGCTACAAAGTAGGGGACTGGACCTTGTCCCTGTTTCAGACAACAGCTGCGCGTACGCAGCGTATCTTCTGCGAACGACATTACGTTTCATTGCTGTTGACCGATTTAGTCAAAACAATGTTGATAAGCTGACCTTAATAATATCTTAGGCTGGGTTGCACCACGTAACTTCGACGATAACCGGTGTTTTTTGTATGGAGTTTGATAGATTTTTGACGTTTGTCAAAGTTAAAGTAAGATGGTGCAACCCAGCCTTAGTGTATAATATAAGCTAGCTGATTCGGCGAACTTACCGTCTATGTTTATGAGAAATAATGTAGGATTTTAATGGTGAAAGAATTTCTCGGTCAAGCATTTTCGGAGCTTATTTAGTACGAACAAACAATCGGTATAATAAATTTTAGTGCAACGAAGGTATTTATTTGTTATTCCTAGATTTTGACTGAAACTTTATAATGGGAAAGATCATAGGTATGTATTTATATCAGCAACAAGCTATTTATTCAACAAACCTGATTATTGCTTTTGAAGAAAAATATTAATGTACCTAAATTCCTCCAGTTATGCCAATCATAGTTGTTCTAATTGAAATCAAATCAAAAGGCATTTATAAATTGCAAATTTTCTGTAACTAGGTAGGTACCTAAATCAAATACTTATTCCTCTCACTCATGAAACAATGTTGGTAAATAAATTTCATTCATTGAATCACTCATAAAAATGTAACTAATGCACAAACTTACACTGAAAGCCATCTCCCT